TCTGAAAGATTTCAATGATATCCAAACAAAGCCCGTGTGATAACACCAAATCCAGAGTATGGCCCTTTGAATGTGTTGGTCCAACCACAGATTGTGTAAAATCAAATGAGTCAATCAAGTCCAAAAAGTCCTTCACCAGAGGTTTATCTGGGCAGCATATGTGTATATTAAAATCACCTATAATTAAAATACGATCGTGCTCTAGGGCAATCCCTGGTCAATCGTTTTATTTTAAATATGCTGTAGGAGCCGTAGTTTGACGACTGTTATAAATATCACCACGTTTTGCGAACACAGGGGATTAGATCAGTTTTTGTCGCTTGTTTTTAGGAATTGCAGCGGCTGCAGTGCGCCACAATAAAGCTACAATAAAGCTGATAAACAGGTGAAGAACCAAACTAGACAGAACCACTTCTGATTGTTTGCCAAGCCAAACATCCAATAAAAGTTCCACCAAGCCACTACTGAGGCACTGGGGTCAAGTTTCTCGACACGGGCAAAAGAAGGTTCAATGTCCAAACTTATTGATTGTTCTTGGTGATTTATTTTCCTCTTTAACCAAACAATTACAGAGTTCAAACTTTCATTTGTTCTCATGCTACCACTCTTAAAAACCATCGGCCCCAAACCCAAATGCCTGCTGGTCCTTCAGGCCCCTGCACATTTAGAAAGTGGACTGACCCACATTACTTCCTGTCTAAATTTAGAAAATAAATAAGACAAATAATAAAACAAAAAATAAATAAAATCAACAATTATCAACCTACAAATAAACTCGGTAAATAATACAATACAAAAAATAGAAATTTAAGAATAAAGTAACAAAATTCAAATGGATAAAGAAAAAATAGCTCCAACAACTTCTATTCCGCCTTTTCTCGCTCTGAACGTCGGTATTACGCAGGGCCCGTTGCCATGGCAACCAACAAACAACAGCTCAACGAGCAGATAGAGCAGAGATCACCGATCAGGGGAATCAACACCAAAAACAAACATTTCCCACACAAAGTAGCAAAAACACTAAAACAGAACATCCAGTCTGTTACATTATGTTGTCAGGCTTGATGTCTATATTATCATTATTAATACGTTTTCGCCTGAACACCGCGGTGGTTGATTAGCTGATTCAGTCAGTTACCAATGCATTGGATTTAACTTTGAACCTTTGTGTGCACACATAATAATAATGGCCAATCGTAGATATCAGCGCTGACTCACATACCCCAATGATGCGTTGGTCGGCATCAGGGGCGGATCTACTGGGGTGGCATGGGGTGGCAGTTGCCACCCCTAAGGAGAGCCTTGCCACCCCTGTTGCCACCNAACACAAATGACAACACACGTCATTTAAATGCCAAAGAGTAAAAATGAGTTTTAAGAAGCGATTTAAAATGATCCAGGCTGTGGGCAGATCTAATCTGGAAAGGTAAGTTATTCCATAAAACAGGAGCAGCAACAGAAAAAGCTCGATCTCCTTTCCTCTTAAGTCGAGTTCGAGGAACTGTAAGTAATAACTGATTATTTGATCGTAAAGTTCTGGACACAGACTGGAAATTTAAAAGGTCCCGAAGATAAGGGGGGGCTAACCCATTTAAAACTTTAAAAGTTAACAAAAGAATCTTAAAATCTATTCGATAAAAGACAGGCAGCCAGTGTAAAGATGCCAGAGTTGGCCTTATATGGTCATGCTTCCTGGTTCCTGTGAGAAGCCGTGCTGCTGCATTCTGGATCATTTGAAGTCGCTGAATCTGCGATTTATCCATCCCTCTATATAAAGAGTTGCAGTAATCCAGACGAGTTGTTATGAAGGCATGGATGAGTCCATCAAAGTCCTTAAAACAGAAGTAAGATTTAACTTTTGCTAAAAGCCGAAGGTGGTAAAAACTCGATTTAACGACAGAACTAACTTGTTTATCTAGCTTTAAAGAGCTGTCAAAAGTGAAACCAAGATTCCTAGCAGAGGTCTGATAAGACCGAGCTAAAGAACCAAGAATCTGATCTGGATTTGTAGTCTGAAGTTTCTGACCAAATAATAGAACTTGAGTTTTGCTTTCATTGAGGTGAAGAAAGTTTTTTTCCATCCATAATTTAACTTCAGCTAAACAGTTTAGCAACAGCTGAAGAGAATCATTTGTACCATTTTGCAATTTAAGGGGCAAATAAATCTGGATGTCATCTGCAAAGCAATGAAAGGAAATATTAAATTTTTGGAAAATCTTACCAAGAGGCAGTAAATTCAAGATAAACAAAATGGGCCCTAAAATTGACCCTTGGGGAACACCATACTTTAATGGTCTGGCCCCAGAACAGGATTGGTCAAGATGAACAGAGAAATTTCTGTTTCCTAAATAAGATTTAAACCTTTCGAATACTGAGCCTCGCAGGCCAACACAGTGTTTTAATCTATGTAAGAGAATCTGATGATCTACAATGTCAAATGCAGAGATCAAATCTAAAAGTAATAAAACAGCAACGTTGCCTGAATCAACTGTTAAGAGGAGATCATTATACACTCGGAGCAAGGCAGATTCAGTGCTATGAGCAACATTAAACCCAGACTGAAACTTCTCAGTTATATTATTGTCTTTTAAAAACATTTCAAGCTGAATAAAAACTAATTTTTCAAGAATTTTAGATAAAAAAGGCAATTTAGAAATGGGCCTGAAATTTGCTAGGTCACTGGGGTCTAGATTGGATTTTTTAAGAAGAGGTTTGACCACAGCATGTTTAAGAGTAGATGGGACACAACCTGACTGCAATGAGGTATTTATCACCGTAAGAATATAGCTGCCAAAAATCAGAAAAATGTCTTTTATCAGACGAGTAGGAAGACAGTCCAATGGATAATTTGAAGGCCGCAAATGCTTAATAACCAAAGTCAGTTCATCTATAGAAACTGTCTGAAAATGCTCTAACATAGCTGCGCATTGTGGCATTCCATGGGAATCTAAATCTACCAGCTTATTCAAGCCTCTAAGAGCTTCAATCTTTTCTATAAAGAACATAGAAAAAGCCTCACAACGTTCAACAGAGCCTAAAGGACTAGATATAATCGAGGGATTGACAATCCTATCCAGGACATTAAAAAGTACTTGCGGCCTATGCCTATTTGAAGCTACAAAAGTAATAAAATATTTCGATTTTGCTAATTTGACAGCATTCTGATAATTAATTAAACTGTCTTTCAAAATTTCAAAGGAAACCTGCAGTTTATCTTTTTTCCACCTCCTCTCAGCGCGCCTACATTCTCGTCTAAGCGCGCGTGTGGTTTCATTAAGCCACGGCTCCAAAACTTTCTTTCTTGTAGTTGATTTAATTTTCAAAGGAGCTACAGTATTTAGAGCATTAGAACAGACGTTGTTAAAATTTGTAATAAGAGCTTCAATATCAAGGTTATCAGTAGGGAATGTAGTAGGAGCTAAGATTGCATTCAGTTGAAGAGCAGTATCAGAGTTAATGGTACGACAAAGTAAAGGTTTAGCATTGCTTGTAACCACAGAAGGTGAAATCTTAATAGAGAATAAAACAGGGAAATGATCTGAAATACAAGTCTGAAAGATTTCAATGATATCCAAACAAAGCCCGTGTGATAACACCAAATCCAGAGTATGGCCCTACCTCATGACACAAAGACATAAAAATTGCAAATTAAACTCTATTGACTTATTTTATATGCGAATATGCATCAGCTATAGCAGAAATAAAACCTAACACAGTTCCTTCCTCAGTGAGATTCTGACACTGGGAGGAGGTTACTGGTTTCTCTGTCAGAAGCTGGTTGCAAACCTGATGCCAGCAGGTGTCAGTCAGTCATGGTAGATCTGAAATTTGGTTTGATGACCTCAGTATGAGAAACTACAGACTGATAGGAGGAACCAAAGAGCCCAGTAAAGGTAAAGGCAAATCTTCTGAAGTCGGGATATAATTAATTTAATTTCACATAATTACCCATTTGTTTAAAACTTAATGAAATATATTTGTCCTATTTGATGTTTGTTGTGACGTATACTCACAAACGAGGTCATTAGTCCAATTTTGTTGTTTATTGAATGTTCAGAAACTACAGCAGGTGTGATGAGCCACAGCAAAGGTAAACAAAGGTAAAACAACCCGAACAGACAATCAACTCAAAACCACTCCTACCTTTTTACTCTCTGTCTCTTTGTCGTTTAAGCACACCCGTTGCCGTGGCAACCGCTTGCACCCCCGCAAGCCGAGCAAGGATTACATTAAAAACACAACATTCAGTCCGTTACATATCAGGTTTCCAGGCTTGATATTTATTTCTCGATTATTAATAAGCCTCTCATGAACACAGCAGTGGTTGAGTAGCTAATTTAAACTCCTGCTCTGCTCGTCAGTCGGTCTTTGAGTCCCCTTAATTTTTTTTTCTTTTTTTTTTTGTTAATGGGACCGAAAGGCACTGAATTGCGCAACACCTTGTTGAAACAATAATTACTGAGATTATTCATTTTAACATGTTTCGTTGACTTTTTATAATTATTCCTTTTTAATGAAGCTACAAACGTTTAGATCTTAGTGAATATTTTTGATAAGCCCGTCAGAAGAGGAAGGGCTGGTCTCAGCGTCCTGGCGCCGTTCAGATGGTCATCTGCCGAGATCGACTCAAAACCTTTCTGCGATCGACCGGTCGATCGCGATCGACGTATTGGGCACCCCTGTCTTAGATAAAGTGATGGTGTACTGGAAACCCTGGAAATGGACCTAAGTAGCATCAGTTTCAGTGTTCAAAGGGAACAGTGCAAAACAAACATGTTCTGCTGCTTCAGGGCCGTTTGTGAGGGAAAGGTCACGTTTTTATATTATTGGTACCCGAGGAAACGGAGCTTCAGGAATTTCTTTAGCACTTATTTGTATTAGTTATAATAAAAAAAAGATCCTGCTTCTAGATTTGCTGATGAATGCAACTTGAACATAATGTGTATATCTGAGTGGAGAACTTCTGTATACACATCATGCTGTTGTTCCTGTGGTTGCAGACTGATGCAGAGAGCATGGTGGCTCATGTCTCGGGCAGCGCAGGGTGTGGCCGTCTCCCTCTCCACTTCCCTGTCTCTGGGCGTCTTCTTCATGCAGTTCCTGGAGTGGTGGCATTCCTCGGAAAACCAGAGCACAGTTAAAACCATCACTTCCCTGCCTGCACCTCCTCCCCCGCTCCATCTGCAGGAGGATGTCCAACCAGCAGCAGACGAGAAGAACTGCCCACTGTGCCGAAAGCTCCGGGCCAACTCCACGGTGCTGTCCACATCTGGCTTTGTCTTCTGTTACCGCTGCATTTACACTTATGTGAAGGCTAATCACTGCTGCCCACTCACTGGATTCCCCACAGAATTGCAACACCTCATCAAGATCTATGAGTCCGAGAGTTAAAAGTTCTCTGGAGGTCATTTCAGATGTTTCCCATCTTTTGGAGAAATGTGACCTTACTGTTTGCCGCATTCCTGTGCAACAGCTCTTTGTGAAGAGTGAAAATGTTATTACACTTTTGTGTGCAAAAGTTGATTTTAAAGTTGATAAATTCTGATCTGATTCAGATTTTAATGGCTTACACTCAGTCTTTGTATTTATTAAATCAGTAAATATACTATATATAATAGTGCTGGTAATAAAACCTTTCCTGCCTCAGCTTCTATTTAGACCTCAGAAGAGTAATAGAACACATCAAAATTAAGTTGATGGGCGTTAAAAAATTTTTAATATCGATTTATTCACTCAACTTTCCATGTAGTTTTTAACAATTATGGTAATTTAATTTAGTTTATTTATACAGCACCAATTCACAGCCAATGTGAATTGTTGTAACTTACTTTGTTTTAACCCCTTAACTGTCATCACCAAAAAAACACTGGAAAGTTGAGCCATATCAGTTGCTGCGTAATTTACATACTTTACTGAATTTTTTTTTTAACTTGGCTTAAAATAACATTTAACTTGGCTTAAAATAAGTTTTTGTTTGTGACTCAAAGTTTTGCTTGTGATATCGTGGGCAGGGCCTATTTTACTTAACTAATTAACTTTAGTTCTGGCATATAATTAAATGGCCAGTTTAAATCACACATTTAAAACAAGTTATTTTTATCATATATATACCTTTTGTCTCTCTTGTCAGTGAGCACAGTGTTGCTTGTCACTGGGGGAGGAGTTAGAGCTGCTGCTGACTGACTCATCTGTCAAGAGTGGTCAAAAGTACAGGGACAAGTTGTGGTGGCACAGCGGCAAAGCACAACCCACGTATTGAGGCTTTCGTCCTCGTGGTGGTGGTTGCAGGTTTGATTCCAGGTCTGGTGACATTTGCTGCATGCCTTCCCCCTCTCTGATTACCCTGTTTCCTGTCAAACTACTTTCAAATAAAGGCCACTAGGGCCAACAAAACCTTAAAAAAAAAAAAAAGACAAGTTAAATATATGGTAATAATATTTCCTTCACTGATTAAATCAGTGTTTCTCCACCTGGTCCTCAGCCCCCCCTGCTCTGCATGTTTTAGATGTGCCTCTATTCCA